TTAATGTGCAGTGAGGTCAAGAAAGCAAAAAACCTTAGTTTCATAGTTGGACAGTGCTGAGGCCTTCTTTATCTGTCTTGTTTAGTTCCGTAGAGACACTGATGTTGAAATGAAATAGCACATGACTCTAGTGGAATTTAGCCAAATCTCTTTAATCTGCAGCTTACTTTTTCTCCTTGAATTGGCAAACATTGCCTGTATTGACTGTAGGAGTCCTCTGTATTAGGACAAAGTTTGCATCTGCATCCGAGGTACTTCTTCTTTAATTAGGAAAAAAATACCTAACAACCCCTCAATTCTTTTCATGTCTCAAGTTTTTTTTTTCATGTCTCTGTTAATAACAATTCAGTCATGTGAAAAATATTCTCCAAAGATGCAGCTCTTCTATATCTCCTTTTTTTCCCATATTGAACAGTGGGAGGGGTTATTCTCTCTTGCAACATGTTTTAAAAGTATTGTGCCTTTTGCCACGCTCCTTCAAAATCTTAATTTCAACAGAAATCATTCTGAGGGAAATCTCAGTAAAAGCCAGGATTTTTTAAATGAAAAATAAAATTTGAAGTCAAATAACTAACATGTTATACAGAAAATTATGCAAAAAAAAAATTAAACATGCCATGATCTGTAGATGCTAGAAAAGACTCGAGACTTCAAACAGGCAGATGTAATTTTTTACTATTAGCAAACATTCATAAACTCTCTGAGAAATATACCATATAGGGATACTGGCCTTCTGGATCTGAGATTTGCATGCTAAAAAGGGAAAAAAAGTTGACATTTCCATGGAAAAAGAAGATGGAAATATTTGGAGAATCATGTTTTCTTCCTTTCCATGCTTACTGAGAAAATCTGGTAAATAAAGGCCTAGCAAAGCATTAAGGTCATGAGAAGAAATAATTGATTATTAAGGCAATGGTCAGGTAATCAGTACAAAAAGTGAAAGGATTCATCTATTCTGACTAAGGAGGTTCTTGTGTTAGAAATAAAAAAACCCCAAAAATTCTGTGACAGATAAGTATTTTACACAGGGGACCTAAACAGACAAATGGGAGAACCTGACAAGCCAGGACTGCAATAGCATTGATAATGAAAACATGAAGGGACAACAAGTATTAAAGGTACACACTTGTCATGAAAGAACATAACAGTGATAGATGTGGTATGTAGCAGATATGAGAGACTTTTACCATAAATGTTGTTTTTTTCTTCAACAGCTGTTTGGATGAATTCGTCTTGAGAATGGGTAGGGAAAACAAAGTTTAGTCACAATAATATTGGGAAATAATATTGAAATATACATTAAAACAATATGATTTACTTAAATATTAGGACACAAATATTTTCTTTTCTCTATATAGATGTCTACCTCTTGGCTAGATATTTTAATTCCTACTACAGGCAGTGCAGGTCTTATTAATACAGTCAGCTGAGTACAGAGATTTGTATCTAGATTTATCTAGGTTGGCATCTTCCGTGGAATAGTTGTATAAACAGTCTTGCAGATGTTTCAGTGCAGAGTAGCCCACTACTGCTCCAGAAGGATGTGTCTTGTGCAAGCCATATGTTGTATCTGCCACACATGAATGTCTTGGCCTCTCTAGAACATCTCAGATGGCAACTAAGTTGAGCTCTTTATCTGCTTAGCTGAATGAATCACTGCACATCAGTGATTGTCTTCACTGTGGCTCTTAGGAGGAGCTCCGTTCACATACTGGCACTCAAATGTAGATATACTCACATCAGACTAAATCCCATCCATACAGGTCAGATATAGATATAAATATAACATTTGCATGGATGAATTTGGCTATAATATTATTAAATTACTGCCAGAAATTGTATCGTATGTGATACTTATAAATAAAGACTAAAAATCAAGGGCTAATAATAATAATGATGAGGCACAGATATCAGTGGATGTGAAAATTAACGTATTTTATCAGAAAATACTGAATAAAAGGGAAGTAATGCTATTTTAGATTTTTAAAATCTATAAAAACATTTCAGAAAAGCCAGTCAAAAAGCCTACCAGGAAGCATGAATTCATTCACTTTAAATTAAACTTATATATTGCCTAAGTTTTCAGTAAAGGTAGAAGCAATAAAATGCAGAACAAAGCAAAAAATAGCTAACATCAGCAAGTGCTTGGAAGAGGAAGCGACAGTAACTGAATCCTAAGGAAAACTTAGCTGGATGTGCTTAAAATGAGGGAAATGGGTAATCTGTACCTTAGGATTCTGAAAGAACTGGCTTGCTACATCACTGATCTGCAAGTGGTTTTAATAAAGATATGTGCATTGTGTGTGCTGGAGTGAAGCACTTTTTTCAGTTTTAAGATAAAGAGAGAAATAATTGTTGCAAAATGAAACTGAAGCATGGATTTATTAAAAATGTCTTATGGTGGGCAAACCTGTTGACATTCTGTGATGAGACAGTAGATTTGTTGACACAATAAATATAGTAATCTTATTAATTGTGACCTCTGATAAAGACACCATGTCACATGGGAAGTGACTGATTAATTGAGAAAATGAAAATGAGTAGATCTGTTGAAAGAATAAAGAGCTGGCAAATGGAACATGATAGCAGTGATTAGTGAGAGAGTCTGCTGGGAGAGTACAAGCAGAGTTCTTCCAGGACCAGGTTTAGGAAGAATCTTAATATTTAATGCATGACCTTGATACACAAAGTAGAATTAGATTATGGTATCTCTCTCCTGAAACCAATTATATAATATAATTTGGATCTGGATGTTGTTTAGGAAAAGAAAGACACTGAAGGCTAGATTATTAAAAATGGGAGTAAAATTTAATAGTGTAGACCAAAGGATTTAGGAAATAATAAAGAAATTCTGTTATGAATTGAGAGCTGATACAACTGCAGAGGAACATCTAGGTATTCTAGCTTATTTGTTGTTGACTGTGAGCCAAGTTCAGTTTATTTATCCCAGTAAAATGAATGTTGAAAAAAGATGCTTATGTCTTCAGTCTATACATGCTGGGGACAAACACCAGGGAGGAAGAACGTTTATCTTAAAGCACATTTCAGTACAAGAACAATCAGGTACAAACTGACCTTGAATAATCATAGAATGGTTTCTGTTGGAAGGGACCTTAAAGATCATCTAGTTCCAACGCCCCTGCCGTGGGCAGGGATACTTTCCACTAGATTAGGTTGCTCTGAGTCCCATCCAACCTAAAACACTTCCAGGGATGGGATATCTACAACCTCTCTGGGTAACCTCTTCCCGTGCTTCACAGTAAAGAGTTTCTTCCTAATATCTAATCTAAATCTACTCTCAGTTTAAAGCCATTACCCCTGTCACTACATGTCTTTGTAAGACAAAGTCCCTCTCCAGCCTTCTTGTAGGCCCCCTTCAGGTTCAGGAAGGTGCTGTAAAGTCTCCATAGAGCTTTCTCTTGTCCAGGCTGAACAACCCTAACTGTCTCAACCTGTCTTCAGAGAAGAGGTGCTCTAGCTCTGTGATCTTTGTGTCCCTTCTCTGGACTTGATGCAGCAGGTCCACATCCTTCTTGAGGGCCCCAAAGCTGGATGCAGTACTCCAGGTGGGGTCTCAAGAGAGCAGAGCAGAGGAGGACAATCACTTCCCTCAACCTGCTGGCTGTGCTTCTTATGATGCAGCCCAGGATATGGTTGTCTTTCTGGGCTGCAAGTGCACATTTCCAACTCATGTCAAGCTTTTTATCCACCATCACTCCCAAGTCCTTCTTCTCAGGGCTGCTCTCAATCCATTGTCATCCCAGCCTGTGTTTGTGCTTGGGATTGCCCTAACCCAGCTGCAGGTCCTTGCACTTGGCCTTGTTGAACTTCCTGAGGTTTGCACAGGCCCACCTCTAAAGCCTGTCAAGGTCACTCTGCATGCCATCCCTTCACTTGCTGGTGAAGACATAGGCAACGAAGTAACTGAGAACCTCAGCCTTCTCCATGTCCTTGGTAACCCGGTCTCCTGTTTCTTTCTGGAAAGGGCCTACATTTTCCCTGGACTTCCTATTATCACTAGCATACCTATAGAATACCTTTTCTTGTTGCCCTTGACATCCCTGGCCTGGTTTAATTCTATCAGGACATTAACTTTCCTAACCTGATCCCTGACTGAACAATCTCTGTATTCCTCTTAGGTTACCTGTCTGTGTTTCCACCCTCTCTAGGCTTTCTTTTTGTGGTGGAGCTTGTCCAGGAGCCCCTTGTTTGCAGGCCTCCTGGCATGTCTGCTCAAATTCCTCTTTGTTGGAGTGCATTGTTCCTGAGCTTGGTAGAGGAAACTCTAAGATAAGGAATTTAAAGTCATCTATGCTAGAGGCTTCTATAAGAATGTCTTTACTGGACCAGTTTATAAAAGGGATTATGAGAAGGAGTTTTCCATGGTAGAAGTGGAGGAGGTCCTGCTTGAGTGTGTATTTTACTTCCATTACACAGCAAGCAAAGATTCAGCCAGTGCCAGTAGTCAAAATGGACTACTGCTGTTACCATAATTTATCCCAATTGTAGGCAAGGTAAATGGCTGAACACCTAAGACAGAGTTCCCACAAAATACTGCTTTCTAGCCAAGTTGGTATGAGTTACCTTTGACATCCCATGTGCCTCTTCAGCCAGTTCAGCAGCTCTCTCAGCAAGTGGTTTGAAAATGGATGTGCTGGTAAGATCTGAAATCAGAGGAAATTTAGGTTAGAAGAAGGGAGCAATTCTGACTGGTCACCACAAGGTTACTTTGCTAATCTGTCAAGGAGCTTGAGTGTGGAAAGCTGTACCTGTATCATTTTAACACAGTGGAAATGTAGTGCATAACTAATAATTGTAGCATATGGCTAATTGCTTCTGTCTCTGCAGTGTGCCAGCCAGAACCATGAAAACAAAAAGTGCACAAGAACCAAAGAGAATGACAAACATCATAATGCTTAAAAAATAAGGGCTATGGTGATGACATCTTTATACAGAATGGAAATATTTGTAAAGCATTGTTTTATTTACTATAACCACAGGGTTCCTTAAAGAAGGTTCTTAAACAGCTAGAAGAAGAGAAGAGTCGTCTCCAGAGTCAGCTAAAGGACTATGAACTTAGACTGAAACAGGAAGCAAAGGTTTGTAATCACTGTATGCCTCTAATCTATAAAAGCTATCATGTTGTCTGACAAACAGTGTGTGTGGAACACACATAAGAATAGTTCCACAAAATATGTCACTGGAAAAACGTTCTGCTGTATATTGGAGTTTTCCTGTGTGATTCAACTTTTAAAAATTTTGTTTAATGGTAGCCTGTATCTCTTGCTTTAACTGTAGGCTTACCATAAAGCTAATGATGAGCGGCGCACGTACCTCTCAGAGACCTTACAGGTAAGATGTGTGACTCAGTAACTTTTAAAAATCACTGTACTTTCTTAATATAGCAACAGCATCTGTTAATGCTGTTAGGTTAAAGTGTTTCATCACTTCATTCATATACCAAATCTGTTACAAAAACTGCTTTTTAAAAAATGTTAAGAGCTATAAATTGAAAGATTGCTACAGTTTATTAATTTTAAATACTTTTTTGCTTTTGTATCAATTGGAGTTTCATTGTTCCTTAGCATAGTCAAAGTGCTCTTAGCTGACAAAGCTGAAGCAATTTTCTGATACTTGCTTGCCCATCCATTAGTCACAAGACTGCTGTGCAGTTGAATAGAATAGAAGCAAATTATTAGCAGGAGTGACACCTACCTTAAGTATCAATTTCTCTTTTTCATATTTCTCCTTTCTTCTTTTAAAGACAAACTAGACTACCAGTTCAAAATTACTTTACAGCACATATTTTCATTAATTTTATTAGGTAGACATAAGACATCTTGTTTTGGTGAAATCACAGGTTAAATTTTATTGCTGCAAATTACATAATACATAAAATTTGATACTACAAACTGGAGGAACCTGCAACGGCATCTGTAAAGATTTATAGTACTTTTTATTCTGGAAAAGCCCTTAATTCCTGAATAATGTAAAAGTAATAGCTTAGTGTGACACTCAAGAAGGCTGTCTCTGAATTCCTGTCATAGCTAACTGGAGTGAAAGCCTGTAATTAGCAGTGTTTCATGTGTTTGCACAGTGGGCAACTTATTCTCTTACATGGTTCATTGCTGCTTAGGGAAATCTGAAAGAATTGCTTGAACTGACTGTCCAGCATGAAACCAAGAAAAAGCCCAGGAAATGCCCATGATAACCGTTAATAACTTTACTTTAACAGTGAAACTAAGAACTTCCAGAGGAAGAATGTAGGAAATAAAAGCTGATTTTGTTGCTGAACATGCTATCAAGCAGAGTGCCTATGTTCAGCTCCCTATAAAAACATTTAAACATGCATAAAACATAGTTTGAAGTGAAGTATATGCACTGGCATGTTGCTTAAATGGAGCAGTGGGGACAGGATTTTGCCCATGACACTCAAGGTAGTTAGTGCACTATATTTTCAACAATTATTTACTCATATGATTTCAGAATCATATGAGAGCAAAATAGTAATCTTCAGATTAATATTCCTATCTTTAGTTCTCTGAATGTAAAATAGCCATTCTGAAGTAGTTGCAGAGGAATCCTCTGTAATCTATGGAGAGTGAATCAGGTCTAAGGTGCAAACCATCACAGCTTTTTTAGGTCGAGATGAAATTAATTTCCTGGGGACTTTTCTGTTTAAACATCTATCTTTTACGTTGCTAATCTGAACATGACAGTAAACCTAACTGCACTGGTGCAGCTTGCCACACTTCAACTACTCGGTGCAGTTTTGAGCGCTTCAGTATAAGAAGGGCATTACACTATTAGAGTGTGTCCCAGGGAGGGAGAACAATATGGCAAAAGGCCTCAAGGGCAAGAGTTATGAGGAGACGCTGAGGTCGCTTCGCTTGTTCAACTTGGATGAGAGAAAGCTGAGGGGTGACCAAATTGCTGAGTGGTGACTGTGGTGGTTTGAAAAACCTTTTTTTCTGAGGTAGTAATGGTTTTCCCCACTGATAATACTGGACCAATCAATAGTCCATGTGTGCCCTACGGAAATTACATACCCACAGAAATGGAAGAGAAGGTAGGGCAGATAGTTTTTAGTAGGTAGGTAGCCATGATCTGAGCCACGAGGAGGAAGCAGGGGGCCAGTGAGCCCCTCTGGGGGCCAAGGGCCCCCAGCCCCCAGCTGAGGCTATGGGAGACCTGGTATAGTGTCAAAGCTGGACTGGGTCCCGTAATCAAGAGCTGGAAGAGTTTCCTTACTGTCATCAGCAGCAGAAGACATTGAAAAGCAGCAGCGGAGCAGTCCTGAACAGAGACAGCGATGGCTAAAAGCCAAAAAGATAGCCAGTAGCACCGAGATAACGTGAAGCCGGCTGAAAGACGCAGAGATGTTCCTGCAGGAGGGAGAGCTGGCAACAAAACAGAGGAAAACTCAACAGAGCTGTTTTGGGGTAAGACTGTATCACTTTCCCAAAACCCAGAGACTTCCTGAAGAGGGGTGGACTTCCAAACCCTTAGGGAGTCCCAAAATGCAACAGCAGCTAGAGAGAGGGAGAAAGGAGCTGAAAACCAGGACAGAATGCGGAGGAGGTGGCCTTGCCCTCTGCTGCTGCTGCTGCTGCTTCTATCATGCCTGTGAGCTGAGACAGAGCAAAAGAGCTTTGGTAAGACTGAACTGAAAGCTGCCTTCAATATTCTAACCCAAGAGGAGTGAAGATCTACAAGGAAGTCCCCTGAAGGCTCGGGCTCGGGGTTGGAATTTCCACAAAGTAAGAACAAAATCCTGACTGCCATACTTAAAGCTGCTGCCTCAGGAAAATGAAGGACACTAACCAGTGCCACAAAAAACTGAAATGAAGGAACTGTGGCCTGAGGAGTGTCAGAAAGACTTTTCTCTTTTCTTCTTAGGCTTTTACTGAAGGAAAGGAGGAATTTAATTCAATGTAAATATATATATGTGTGTGTGTAAATAAACCTTTGTAAATATTTTCCCCTTCCCCCAATAAAAATGGTTGTGTTTTGTCTGAAAACTCTCCACATGAGATGAAAAAGATATCAAGTCTATACCATCACAAAACCCTCTCACAGGGGCAAACTGTGGGAGGGGGGCTTGAACTTAAAAATTAGATTCTTGGGAGTTTCAAACCACCACAGTGACGACATCCATCACAGTATACAACTTCCTCAAGGAGGGCAGCAGAGAGCAAGCTGCTGATCTCCTCTCTGTGGTAACTAGAGATATGACGCGAGGAAATGGAATGAAGCAGCATCAGGGGAAGTGCAGACCGAACATTAGGAAAAGGTTCTTCATTGCACTGAGAGGGTGGTCAGTCACTGGATCAGGATCCCCAGGGAATTAGTCACAGCACCAAGCCTGTCAGACTGCAAGAAGCATCTGGATGACACTCTTAGTATAGAGTTTAGTTTTAGGTAGTCCTGCAAGGAGCAGGGAGTTGGACTTGATGTAGTTTCCATTCTTAATGGTTTAGCCATTCAAAAGGACAACTAAGTGACTACAATTTGTTTTGTTTTGCATTCAGGGAAGTATGTTAGAAACATAATGCTTCTTCGTTGGAAACGTGGAGTTATAGGGAAAATCACCAAAAATATGCTCTCATCATCCATCTTAATAAGTAATGGTATTTTTGCACAGCAAGGGATTTTGGTATATGTTCAATTACCTAAATCAACATGGTATCAGTATAATATGTGCTTAAAATACTTTAGGTCAATAAGGCCATAGTACGTCAAAACTAGTTTGGAAATATTTACTTCCTTAACTGTGATTGTGGTTAGGATTTAACTTGTTTTGTAAAAATTTGGCTATTACAGACCTCAGCTCCACTTAAAATTGTTGAAAGGCAAAAACCAGATGCTCTGACTGGCAAGGGAGAAAAACAGATACTGAGGTAAATTTCCTTTATATTTCCTGTTTTCTGATTTATTATATGCTTTAAACATTGCAAATTTCTGTTCATGGTAAATATCACTAAGCATAACCCCACTGACAAAGTATTGCTCTTTAACATAATTTTTGATACTGTTTTTCAATCAGTTTTATTTAATGTTAAATATCTTGCAATGTTGAAAATACATATATTTAAATGGCCTTTTTAAATCTTAAAGTACTTCTGATGATTTTTCTTTTTAACCTGTGTTTGAAATGGATATTTTTTTTATATTACTGCAGAGTTGAGAGCAACAAGTATACCCCTTAGTACATTAAGAGTAAATCAATTAAATAAGTGCCTTGCTAGGTCCTTTTTAGCCAATGGATTGTAAAGCTTTTTGTGAATGATAGTGTGATTTTAGATGTCAACATACAAAGGCTTCATTGTTTAACAGATTTCTCTTTAATTGTATGGGTTAGAAATTTAAATTTGAAGAGTCCACCTGCTCTGAGGTATATAGAAATAAAATTAATTTCTGATTGTAATGCTTGTGGATAAGCTTGAAATTGGAGGAGATTTATTTTTTACCTGAACTAGAAATGTTAAGAATATAAAGTATGAAGAATAGAGGGAATCATATCAAAAGTTTGTTGAACCCAGTAACTTTCCTCCAGTGCCCAAAAGCAGATACCTACAAAAGTGTGTCAGCAAGCAGATATAATATTTGCTTTTGGAACTCTCCCAAATACTTTGTATTGAGAGACGTCTTAAGCTAGTATGGTTTCTATGTATTTAGTATTTCACATTAAATACCCTTCCACAAACCCACTTACCCATATTATTAAAACGAGCATACACAGTATATATTGGCATCATCTGAAAATATGATGAGTAAATTATGAGCATGAAATTGTGTGGACATGTTTGCCTACCAGCTTTATCCTCTCATTCCGTGTAAGCACAGAATCACAGGATTTTGTAGATTGGAACAGTGAACTTTCATGCTCCAGAAGAGGATATTAGTAGAATATGAATTAATGTAATGCAGTGTGAATTCAATTCTGTAACTGAAGTTTCTTCATACAGAAAAAGCACTGTGGGATACTGAAGTGCCCCATATGCCAGAGTGTCGCTTCTGGCCCCAGTGATATTTAATGTGGTTCATATGGAGAAGATTAGAAAGCTAGAACCAGGAGAATTCACTGCCTGTGCATTGAAATTAAATATCATCAGCCAGATACTGAGATTTGCTGAGAGTTAGCACTGACCTGAGATTATGTCAGGATTTTTTTACAATCTATTTTAGTAGAGCATTACTACCCTGAAATTATACAACAATGTGTTTCTGTAATTTTCTTTGTATCAAACAAAAGAAAATGAAGTGTAAAATAAAATAAAGTGTCCTGTAACTGCTGGTCTCAGAAGATGTGTATTATTACAAATATCCCTTTTCAATCCATTTTACCTAAGAGGTTTTCTTTTTTAACTATTCAAAGTACATTAAATCCATAAAGATAATTGTTCATCTTTTAAGTTGTTCTTAGTATAAAAGGACCTGATTTGCAAAGGATTGCCTTTTATAACCAGTGACTTAGAACATTCAGGACAAATTTTGATCTTTGTTGGCAAAATGGATTTAAGAATGGGGATTTGACACATTTTGTATTTTAAGGAAATACTAGAATGTAAGTATGCACTCCTTGATCATCACAAGGAAACCGCAGTCATTGTCATATTATGCCCTTATTGATTTACAGCCTGAGGGTTGTTTGTTCATGCTGACATTAATGAGAACTAATTTCATTAAAATAAGAGAAAACCTGCATGATTGAAATTAAGCATATTCTTGAGAATAATTTGAAGATTTTCTGTCCAGAGTTCTTATTTCACCTCTGTTGCCCTTTCACAAAATGCCTGCATTGGATCTCAAACCGTACTAAGAAACTATGGTTAATGTTTGTTTTAGCTATAGGTACAGGTATGGAAAGCCCAACCTGTATATTAAAGCAACACTGAACAGATTTTTGAGTAGTAATTGTGAACACTAATTGTTGATGCATTCAGTTCAGTAGAGGTCCTTTTTATGGTTATTCAGAGGACAAGAAGATAGGCTAGCTGAGGGTTGGGAAGAACATGGATGTCCTGATGACTCATATCTCTGATGCAATGTGAACAGCCAATTTATTGTCATTCTGAGCCCTCTCTTATACTGATGCATATAATGGGTCTTATTAGCTCAGTTTCAACACTGCATTGCTGCAGCTACCTGGCTTTTTAGTCTGTAAGTCCAGCTGGTTTTGACTGAAAGAGGTTTTATGCCTAACAAATTCCATATGGATATTTTCTGTCTGCTTCATCAGGCTGTACAGTCATCTACAGATTAATCAACTGATTTTGAGTAATCAACTAATTTGAATTTAAACAATCGATTATTGAGCATTCATGGGGGCTTGGGTTCTGATGTTCCAACTGTGAGTAGAACCATCTCCATATCTGTATGGGCACAGTTCTCCCTTCAAGACCAAGACCACTTGTCAGAGCTGGAACAAAGGATCTGTCAGGAAGACTAGTGATCCCTTGGGATGACTTTGTTGGCTCTTTACCTGTAAATTTGAAACTTGCACAGATCACATCATCACAGCTTCTACCACATATCTGGCTATCATGATGAATATAATGATTTGATGTTGTGATATATTTTCCCTGAAAATGCCTTTACTTGAGAAAGACATTGAAACTCTGTATTATTATTGTCATTGGAGTATGTAAAGTGCTGTCTGTCCTCTCGAGTAATGAATAGGAAGAGAAACAGAGGTATGTTGCACAGGAGCAGAGATGCATGCTGCTTGGTCATGAGCGTAATCCTTCCAGTTTGGGGAAGAACCATTCTTTCCCTGGAGAATTGCTTACATTTCCACTGACTTCTTAGATGATCAAGATGAAACTCTAGTAGGTTTCATGTAGGTGGTGTATGTATTCATGATGAGTACCACTTCAGAAGTCTGCTGGAAGCATTTCCTATGGGCATTTCTTACAGTCATGGGCTTGAGAGCCTGGGTCTCCAGAGTGGAATACCTGCACTGTAATTACATCTACATGAAGTGTTTTTCCATTTTCTGATGGGGATTCTTTAATTGACAAAAATGCCTCCTTAGGCAGGTATCATCCTCTTAGTGCCTGTGTTTAGTATTCTATTCATGTTCTTCAAATGCCATCACTTACATAACAGGAATCATGAGATGAAGATTGAGTTTGTATGCGGAATAATTAGATGCTCTGCTAACCTGCAAACCCAGAAATATACTTGTTTTTTTCTGTCTCAGGTCTATTAATTCATGATAGTAATCAGATATGCAAATATAAAAAGCATGCACATTTCTAGCTGTTAAAGCTTACAGGGAATGTGACACTTGATGACTAACTTCACCCATTTTATTTCAGAGGGAGATACAGTGTTCCAGGAAACCCGAAGATGGTTAGTCCTCGAAAACGATCAATTAAAAAGACTGTAGGAGTGAACAAGCTTCCACAACTAAAGCACTGATATAATGTTCCTGCCAAGAATTTCCAGTCACTTTTAAAAGTGATTAAAAGTTTCTAAATTGAAAATGAAAGTATTAGTGCCTTATTGTAATGCCAGAACCAGATTGGCATGTCTTCTTGGCAGCCTTAATGTAAGTGTGCCTCTGTCTAATGGAATTTTTCTTCTAGTTGCCATCTTTCCACTGGTGATCTCTGATCCTTTCCATTCTGCTTCGCATCAGTGATTCTGGATGTGAGGATGTTAGAATACTTGGAGAATATTTAATGTCTTTATACACTATGTAGACCCTTGAGCTCTGCACATTAACCATGGAAAACAAACATGCCTCTAGCAATTTTGACCTCTCAACCAAGAAGAAGAAAAAGGCAAACTGATGTAACCTATTGTCTCAAACATAACCTTTTTAAAAGCTGGCTTGCCACAGATCCTGTGTTGACTCCCACTTTCCGTCTGCATGGTTCAGAAGCACAGCACCATTTCCAGCTACTTTAGGCAGTAGTAATGGGTAGAAATAACAGAAAAATTGAGCACTTTTTATTAAGGATTCTTCAGAACCTATCTTATCAAGAGGTTGTTTCTTTTAAACACTATATCCATGTTATTTTTCCTGATATTGGTATGTTGCTCTTTGAAATTTGAACTCTCAGATGAACCCTTGTATCCAAAGTCTGTGTTCCATAAAAATCTCTTGTATTCTTCAGTGGCACTGATCCCTGTACTTTTAGGGTCCAAAATAGTGCCAGCCCTAAAATTCATCTCTTCAGTGAAAATAGAACTACTTTGTCTTTTCATTCTTAAGCATGCAATTATTGTTGCAGTTTTATTACCTACATTTTAGTCATTACACTTCAGCAGAAATTTTTCAAGTGGCAACAGGAAAAAAGTTTTGATAATGAAGCTTCAAGCCTCTGGGTTGCATCTTAAAAGCTCTTGGCAGAGCAAATCTGATTGCTTGACTGCCCTTTATTATTTTAAGAGCATCCCTAGCTCTTTGCAGTATGAAAGCTTTTTGCCTCTTTAAGAGCAGTACTAATAGCTCTTTATTACTGGCAGCATTAAAGTGTTGCTGTAATTAAACTCATCCAGAAAGACCAAGGGTGTCATTCTGAAATGCAGAGGGAAAAGACCTGCAGCCTATTCAGTATGGAAACCCCATTTTTTTCTCTTACATAGTATGAAATTTATTACGAATATTTCTAATGCTACCATAATGCACCTGGTATTATTCTTTCGTAAGCAGGGTGATCTGCCTGGCCAGTTTTTTTCCTCACAGCATAGCACAGCTGATTAGGTTAGCACTCTTCTGTTCCTGTTTTTCGCCTGGAAAATTTCTGAAGGTTGATTGTGCTGGCATTTGTCTTTCTGGATAAGAAAAGGGGAAAAATCTCCATAATGGTCCTATTGACATAAAAGACAAGGGACATCTGCAGTAGTAAAGAAGATTGAGTTCTTGGATTCATGCAGCAGACATTTACTACTGCTGAATCAAATGTTAGTTAATGCGCTCAAGTCTGGACCCTATAGAACCTCAGAATGGGTGGAAACATTGCACAAATATGGCAGAACAGCATTTATTCACAGCAGGAGACTTGGATGCTTCCCTCATGCGTGGTCCACACTGAGGACTTAAAAAGAGACTTTTTTTGAAGCCTAAAAAGAGACATTTATTGGTACAGTTTGGTACAGTAATGACCTAAGGAGAAGAGCAGACTATATCCTATTTAGTCCCTGTTTCAGCTTGCCAGGAGCAATCTCGGGATTTGAAATTCAGTGGTATGATAATTAAGCACTAAAACATTCTAATTCTAATCCAATGTCCAGCTGTAATGTTTGCTGTGCGAAGTGGCTATAGTTCTGTACTCTTACTTTGAATTATTTGGCATTTCATTTTCTTTCTGTCTTTCTGAAAATAAGGACAAACCTGACGATTAAGTTTGACAACTCTCCTTTCTTTGCAACAGCAAATGAAGATTTTGGGTTCAGAAATGCTGTGTTGTCTCTTTGGACCTAAATAAAACTTTTACACTTCTAGCTATCCCCAACCATGTAGGAATTTTTTGTTTGGTTTGGTGGTTTTGGGTGGATAACTGTTTTGAAATTCCTGGATTTATCTGTGTGGGATTTTCTTACTGCTATTGTATTGTCCTGTGAAATGCGGTTTGTTGCCATTTACACAATGAACAGTTACAAAGCTTTATACAATATCTTCTATACGAATATTTCAGCACATTTAGGATTAATTAATCCTTCAAAGCATAGTATGTATTATTATTTTAGGCATAGAAGACAGAATCACAGAGTTAGGTTTATTTAAAGTAGATTTAAGAGTGTAGTGATGTCGGGTTTTCCCCTGATCTCACAACAGCGTGATTTTTTGTAAAGTTGCTGACCACTGCAAGGTAAATCCTGTCTCCTCTAAAGTCTCTGTGCATCATACATGCAACTGAAGAAATCTGAAAGCAAAAATGGGAAACTGAATTGCTGACAGCTGTGGTCAGTGATTGAATGGAGCTAAATATCAGAGGAAGACAGGATCAGAGGTGAAAGTTTGAGTCTGGCCAAACTTCTTTCTGCAGCATAGAATGTAATGGGATTCCAGATATACTGGTTGTAGTGTGTAAGTGCCGTTCATAAGTGTACTGGGAAATTTGGCACTTGAGAGGATGCTTCCTTTACATGGTCACTCATGTAAGTCCACCGATTTCAGATGAGTCATGATTTTGAGGTAACTAAGGCATTTTAAGTAATTACCCATATTGTTTCTGGAAAATATAAATTTAAAAGCTCAAAATTTAAAAAAAAAGCCCTGTTTTTTCCTTTTAAAGTCTCATGATTTAAGAGGGTATTGAATAATGATTTTTGTTTTTAATGAATCAGTATTGCAGCAGTGTATTATTCTATGATAGAATAAAATTCAAATGTTTATTGGATGGGCCTTGACTGTGTGGCTGATTATTGTGTAATTATGCAGCATAACCACAGGTTCCAGAGAACTTGGGTGATGAGCTTCTTCATATTCAGGATATTATTAATAATGAGCAAGATATTTAACTGCTTAAATACTTTGTTTAATGGGTTCTCCATATAAAAACTGACTAGGCGGCAAATAAATAAATAAATTAATAAATAAATGAACCTCTGTGTTATTATGCTTCTGCTATTGCTGCCAGACTGGTGTCAAACATAAACTGTTCTTTGAACTAGCTCTATCTCGAAGCAGATGTAAAGTTCATGGACTAAAATCATAGCTAATTGCAATAGTTTTATCTCTTTACATATAGGAGTCACACTAGTGGCAGACAGCTCTAGAATGGATAATGAGATGGCAGTACTTAATTTACCTTGGCAGATCAGTTTAACCTTCTCTTCCAAAAATACAAACATTTTATGTAGTTCCTTATAGGTTACAGCTTGGAATGCTTCACTAATCTTGGAATACTTCACTAATCTGTGCCATAAACTACCAACTAAGAACCATGTAGAGCCCAAATGAGTATCCCACATCTACAGGAGCAGCATGCGGGTGGGACCAAGCTTTCCCAGTGTTTCTTTGAGCAACCCGATGCAACACCCCACAGAAGTCCTTTCTAGGCTGGTAATGTTCCTATGCTCTGGTTCCCTTATAACTTCCTCACCTCTCCCTTTGTTGCCTGGGAGAAGACAAATTCTGCTTCAGGTACCCATCTGTAAATTGGGGAAAATAGTGTGTTTCTGATGCTGAGAAGTAATATGAAGATAAATACACCAGCGCTGGAAGGAAGACAACAGGTAAAACCACAATGAACCTAAGTAAGCCTGACCTAAATCAAATGAATAATATTGGTGCTATGTTGGTGCAGAAACTTAACAGCTGTGGCTTTACCAGTAAAGATTCATGTAGGGGTATTTCCCAATGAACACAACCCAGCAGTGACACCAGTTGCTGTGCAAGTCTTGTCAAAGGGAAAAATGTCAGCCCTGTAAAGAGAAGGATCCCATGTGAGGTCCAGGACATGCCTTACTCCCCCACCGTTGTACAACAGGCACTTACCCCTGCAGCTGTCTTGTCCCTCTACACAAGTAGCAAGTGTCCTGTAGGGAATCTGCCAAGGGATGATGTGGTGTAACAGAGCAATGCAGGCTAGGGACCAGAGAAATTGTGCACAGCTGAAGAGTTATTTTGGGGGAAGTATGAAGCAACAAGGGTGTGCACTCTTGACTTGTCCTGTGCAGATTAGGAATAGGATACTGAGACATCTTTAAAAAAAGAGGAAAAGAAGGAAAATTAGTGTGGGAATCATCTGTCCCAATTTGCAGCCTAAAATTCCTACATCGAAGTCTGAGATATTGACTCCATGAGCAGTCAATTGGAAAAAAACCAGACACCTTCGGAGTGCAGTTCCTCTCATTCTAACAAAGATGCTTAAAATGGATCAGATGACACATCAACCGGATTTGTCTCTGCTGACTAGAAAGGAATTATAAGATGACAAATTCAGAGTAACCTGTTTGAATCCTGTTCTTGAAAATGTCTTTATTTTTCTTGCTCTGGTTAGGGACACTGACACCCAGGATCAGTAGAGGGTCTGGGCTAAGAAGCAGTACTGAGCTGCAATTTGACTCTTTGAGTCAAATTTGAGTTTATCTTTTCCTCTTGCAGCAGCCCAGCACACAATAGAGGACCTGTTCTTCAAGCATCATATTTACAAGGCCCACAAATCTATTCTCATGTTGCATCAGTATTTACAAGGACAAATTACCTCTTTTTTTTCCTTCCTTTTGAAGATATTTGGCAAGCTCCATACTCTTTTGAAATCAAACCAACAAGCTGATGCATTATGCTAAAAAGCTCTCCCTAAAGCCTATGGATCTCCAATATGAAGGTGGGAAAATAGACCCCATAGATCAATTCACTACAGACCTTAGAAGATATCTGATGCAGTTGTGATAGGAATCAATAACCTGGAGAGCAATACTTTTTTGTGTGTTCCTGTCTCTTAAAAAGCTGAGCTAGGAATTTACTAATGACAAGTCAAATTGTTGGCTGGGCAAATGTCTTCTTGGAGGAGTAAAATACTTTGCAATTCCTGCCAGGCCTGTAATAGCTGACAGCATAACTTCGTTAGTATAATATATTTCTGAGGCAAGAATAATTTGTCCAAATACACTTAAAGTGTTTGGATGAAATAATCTGCCTTGCTTTAGGCTGCTGTCAGAAAGCACATCTCAGCCTTGGCTCAGAGGGGTGCAAGAGCCCTGTGTCCTTGGCTGGCTGGTGAGGAGAGGAAGTGGAAGACCAGATGTCTGTGCTTGTGTTTTCCACTCCAGACATCTGCAGCAAAGCACCAAGTCTGAAAACATACTGTGTTGTGCTTGTTACTGCCTTCGCTAATGTTTCTTAATTTGTATTAGTACCTCTCCAGTGGCTGGTGGTTTTGGGTGTATCCACAGATGTACTAAGCTGGACAAGTAATGGGAATTCTTAACAATCTAAATCAACAAAAGGCTTGACAGAGGTAGAAAAACTCTTTCCAACCTAATCGAAACTAGAAAAAACCCATATATTAGAAAACCATTCTCAATTTCTTGGCTCTGCTTTGATGCCTGAGTCATCCTGGACTGGGCCTGACCCTGGTTCCCCTCACAGGGACCCAATCTCCAAGTCCACTTGCAGGCAGATGTCATGTCTCAGCCGTGGCTGTCCACACTCCAGGGAGGTTCTCGATGCCTGGGGCTGGGACTGCTCCTGGTGCCCCCCCCTCCTGAACCACTCCCCCAGTTTGTGCTGCTCCTGGCTGGGACAGTAAGATGGTCCCTGCCAGCCGCCCTGCCCTGCCTGCCTGGGGATGCCCTGCAGTTCCCAGCCCTCAGTATCGGGGTCACTGGCTGTTGCCCATCCTGTCAAATTTGCACTCACTGATGGTGCTGACATAAATAACAATTCGCTGACTGCAGGAGTGATTTACTTTAAGCACTTTAGCACCTGCTGTTGCTCTTTACGGGATTATCATGCCCCAGATTGTTACTAGCAGCCCAAGGTTAACAGCTTTAGCATGTGTGTACAAATTACCTTACAGGGGTGGGTTCATGCACTTACTCTGTCCTCCCCACGACCCTGCTTCTTGTTAAGATCTCACATGTTACTGGAAGCCACACATTTTAGACGTGTGATGATTGGAAAAAAAAATCAGCAGTTATACCAACATGCATGCTTTTAATGGTATATATCAGCATTTGACAGTATCTCGTACTTCAGAATAGCAGACCGTTCTCCATTGTTGGCTTATTTTGTCACCATGTGGATATCATTGGAGTTAGTCTTTCCTGAAAAGGCTAAGAAGGATATAGAGGTGGAAGAGTTATGAACTTGTGCTAAAACCTCTGCAGAGATTTGGCATTCCACACTGTGCCCCTGGGCTGGCATTCAGTGCGAGGAGCTGTAGTGGTTTTCAGGGCGGATATTCCAAAAACCTTGGCAAAAACAGCTGTCTCACTCCTCTACTTAATTGCTTTAATTGCTGATTCTTCTATTCTCTGCAGTTTGCAGCACCTCCTTTCTCACCGTAGCATTTCACAGCACTGCAAACTTAGTCCTTCATCTCATTTTATTAAAGTTGGTCATGTGCAAGTCTGAGCCATAGTAGAGTTCAATCATTATTTTCTAGTCTGGTAATTTCCCAACACCATCTGCTTCCTAGTGCCAGCGCCAGCTACAGTGGTGCCTGCTATGCCCTTTTTGAACTGTCTGTCCTCTCTTCTCTCACTATCAAAACTTTCACTGGAAATTACTTGAATTGCATGGCTTAGTACGGCTTTGTGGACTACTTTCCTGGTCTCAGAGAACTATCATTTAGGAGAGGTACCCATGGCATTGCCAAGCAGGAAAAATGGAAGATTCTTCTGTGCCCAAAGTTATGAAAGACAGAAAAAAACCCATGCTAACACTACAGAGGACAAACAGTACCCTGCTGCCTTCCCAACAATGCTGTGATGATGTACAAAAAAACCCACACACGAACACCAAAGAAACCCCAACCCAAAACAACCCCTCTAAAA